AGCTTGATAAGGCCGAAGCCCACAAATCAAGCTTGATAAGGCCTAAGCCCACAAATCAAGCTTGATAAGGCCGAAGCACACAAACCAAGCTTGATAAGGCCGAAGCCCACAAATCAAGCTTGATAAGGCCTAAGCACACAAATCAAGCTTGATAAGGCCGAAGCCCACAAATCAAGCTTGATAAGGCCTAAGCCCACAAATCAAGCTTGATAAGGCCTAAGCACACAAATCAAGCTTGATAAGGCCGAAGCCCACAAATCAAGCTTGATAAGGCCTAAGCACACAAATCAAGCTTGATAAGGCCGAAGCCCACAAATCAAGCTTGATAAGGCCTAAGCCCACAAATCAAGCTTGATAAGGCCGAAGCCCACAAATCAAGCTTGATAAGGCCGAAGCCCACAAATCAAGCTTGATAAGGCCTAAGCCCACAAATCAAGCTTGATAAGGCCTAAGCACACAAATCAAGCTTGATAAGGCCGAAGCCCACAAACCAAGCTTGATAAGGCCTAAGCACACAAATCAAGCTTGATAAGGCCGAAGCACACAAATCAAGCTTGATAAGGCCTAAGCCCACAAATCAAGCTTGATAAGGCCGAAGCCCACAAATCAAGCTTGATAAGGCCGAAGCCCACAAATCAAGCTTGATAAAAGCTGTCAAGCTTAACAAGGCCAAATCCCACAGGATGACGACGTTGCTTGCAAGCAACAAACAGGAAAACGGGACATTCAAGAAGTACAGGGTATCGAAATGATGAGCGGGGGAGGTCAGGCGCATTCCATTTGACTGTCCACACCCATGCAAAGGTCCTGTCACATCACAATCTAAACTGAGGGTTTGAAACACAGAGACGCACACAGGTGCACCATTTACACACATACACTGCGCCGACAACACACGCTCAACGCATACACGCAACTCCAAGCATACAAACGCACACTCAGGGCCGTCGGCTCCTTCTCCATCGACCAGCAACTAGGGACTGACACGTGCCATGGGCTTGACGGGCTACGGCAGCGTTGCCGGTATTCTGGGCAAGGACTGGGCGAGCAGGCGCTCCACGATAAGCACGCAAGATCGC